TACAGTATATAAAACTTACTTGACCAAGGCCTCCCGTTCACTTTAAGGAAATATTTGCGAATGAAGACAATTTATCTTAACATTTGATTTTACTGTTACAGTTATGTACAAAGAACGAAAGGACAAAAGAAACAATGCAATAAGGAAGGCACACGGTTGCATTATTAGGTACTTTAGAATAAACCACTTTAAATGCTTGAGGTTAGTTTCCCACATCACCTCCCCCGTGAATCGTCTCCCGACCACGGGAACGTTCACCAGAGTCCTCTTCGACATCTAACACCGCTAATTTTGAAATTGGTAGCTTTAGTACTCCGCTGCTCGTATTCACTTCTGCTGATCTGGCGACTCCATCCGGACCGATGCGTCCGGGAGGTCTGCTTCACAAATAAGGACAAGACTCCCGGTGCTTATCGGCTTTGATGGGCTATTCCATTTGGTTCGACGAGTCAGCTCGGGCAAATACTCGCTCACCCAACGTTTCCAAAAGTGATTTTTCATATTTTGCAGCAAACGCCATTGCTTCCGGAGTGAGCACAAACGATGTTCATATAGCGCAGGTGTTTGCGTTGAGTTAGTAGAACCAAGTAAAAAATCATTTGGAGTAAGTGGTTCGGGCTCGCTCGGTGTCACAGGCAGGAGCGTTTCTAGTTTGGGAGCATGCTCCTTCAGCATGGAATTCAAGGCTCGTTTCACCGACTGCACAAGTCTCTCCCATGCTCCTCCCGCGCTGGGATCAGCTGGCGTATTATATTTCCACTTAACACCCATCGGTGCGAGGGCGGCAGTTATAGCATTATGGTCCAAAAAAGTTACATCATTACCTAGCTCCTTCGCTATACACACAAAATCGCTACGGATTTGTACCGGAACACCACACCGGTTTATGAAGTTCCTTATGCAAACTATGCACGCATCGCTACTCAGGTCTGCCGCGATTTCCAAGTGTACCGCTCGGACGTTTAAACAAGTGAAGAGCGCGATCCACCTTTTCTCTTTTCGACGCGCTACTGTGACTTGCACAGGCCCAAAATAATCAAGTCCGGTGTATGAGAATGGGCGAACAAATGAGGTGACCCTATCGACTGGCAATGGCGCCATGGTAGGCTGAAGTGGTGTCGCTATTCGTACTTTGCAGGTATTACATCCGGCCCTCACGCTATTGATCAATACTCGCAAAGATGGAACCCAGTATTTACGTCGTATTTCGTTGATTGTGACCTGATTGTAAATGTGATGAAAACGCTTATGATACATTTCCACGAACAATCTAGTGAAATTATGATTCTTGGGTAATATGACGGGCCATTTCATTTGCACAGGTAAATTTGGCGCATTTACGATACGTCCACTACACCTAATGAGGCCATCTTCATCAATAAACGGGCATAACATTTTCAACGCATTACTTGCATTAACAGGGTGACCACCGCGCATCTGCCGGTACTCTTCGCAGAAAGCGTATCGTTGGGTGCATTTTATAAGCAGGTTCTCAGCGCCCTCTTCATTTACGGTAAGCTCATCCTTTTTTAACGGCTGCTGGTTAATTTTCATTTTCAGGTTAAAAACATACCTTCTCACCCAGGCGATCGTCCTTTTGAGTCGAGCGTAATTTGAAAAGCGTGAAATATCATAGAGCTGGCAACACTTACGATGAGCGATTCCAATATACTTGGTACGGAGCTCTTGCTCAGTTACTTGGAGGCTACATTAGGACATTTGGACCATTTTTCCAACGTCCATCTGGGTCATATTGGATGCATCTCGTTCCATCATCAGCAGGGTTGAGCGTACCAGGAACCCATCTCCATTCGGCTGCATGTGACGATTCCAAAATTTCGGCCAACCGATTGGCAACAAACTGCTGGTACTTATATGTATCGGAGTTAATCCATTTCACCACCGAAGTCGAATCTGTCCACATAACAATATTTTCAACGTCGACTTCGCAGCATTTTAAAATGTGGCACCTAAGTCGAACAGCGAATACCGCTGCTTGCAGTTCCAACCGTGGCATCGATACATATATTGCTGGTGCGCAGTTTGACTTTCCGGCAGCAAAAGCTAGTTTCACCCCCTCTGGAGCCTCAATTCTCCAGTAAGCCACCACCGCCGTTGCAGACTCACTAGCATCACAGAATATATGTAGCTGCTACTCCTAGCCACGACACCCACCGGCCACAAAGCTCCTCAGGCAGTTCGTCGTCCCATGCCACTTTCCTTTTCCAGAACGTCTGCATGAACACTTTGGCGATAATTGTTAAATTCCCCAGCAAACAGAGGGGATCAAAAACGGACATTATGATGCTCAACATCTCTCTTTTGGTTGGTTTCCGCTGAAGTTGCAATATTTCTTTCAGAACTTTGTTAAACTTCAGATCAAATTTAAAACTCATCGTTATGGTTATCCCACTGCATGCCTAAGATCCGCTCAGAGTTGTCCGGTGATACGTTCTTTGTGACGGCTGATCCATTTCCACCAAAAATTTCGTTGACTTGTTTCGAATTCGATAAAATTTTTCGCAGATTAAATCCTGCCTCAGCATGAATGTTTATTACGTCTTGCACAGTTGCGATAACTTCTTCCTCTGATTGGAAGCAGTCTACATAATCATCGACGTAGTGGTGTTTTGTAATGGCTTGAACTGCTCTTTGCTTCGAGTCAGCATACCTTTTAGCGTTGTAGTTTTTCACGAACTGAGCAATTGTTGGCGAACATGTTGCTCCGAAAACCATACGCTGCATGACAAAATGAGAAATGGGTTGATCCTCGTTCGACCGCCACAAAAAACGCTGACAATCCTGATCAATCTTTCTAATTTCTATTTGCAATAACATTTCCGCAATATCTCCCGTGACCGCAATCGGAGCTTTGCGGAATTTGAATAGCACGTCAATAAGAGGTTGCTTTATATCTGGTCCAGGTAAAAGAGCATCATTCAGTGACATCCCTTGCACTTTAGCCGCGGCGTCAAAAACTAGTCGCAATCCTGGTTTATTCGGATTAACAACAGAGAAATGAGGCAAATAAAATGTTAAATTTGAACGCGTAGCTTCTTCTGATGCGTTTAAGTGTCTTGCATACTTTTTATCTATTAATTCCCTTTGTTGGTGCAGCCTCCTCTTCACTTAGTTCATCATCAAAACTTTAGAAGAACGCTATGGGAAGCCGGAGCTGCTGGTGAAGAGTCAATTAAAGAAGATACGAAGTGTGGCACCAATCTCCGAAAATCATATCGACCAGTCAGTGATGTTCGCGACGAAGGTTCAAAATTTATCCTCCTTTCTTCAGGCTGCTGATTGTGAGTATCATTTGTCAAACCCTACGTTGATGGAAGAGTTGCTGATTAAACTGCCTATGCAAAGGCGTATTGAGTGGGCACGACATGCCTCTACGATTGTACCGCGACCAACGATATGCCACTTTAGCGACTGGCTACAAGAATTATCCAAAATTGTGAATTCAGCCTGTGTGTACTCGAGCTTGGAACCGCGCCAACCAAGAACAGAAGGGCGCCCAAGATTTTTCCACACAAACGAGGTCAATAGTGAAAGTTCGTGGCGAGGTAAATGCGAAGCGTGTGCAGAGAGGCACGCACTTAGTAAGTGTAAAAGATTTTTAGACATGGATCAAGGAGAGAGGTGGCGTTTAGTTCGTCGAAGGAGACTTTGCTTTAATTGTCTGAAAGGCAATCACCGTAGCAGCGTTTGTCGTGAACAACACGAATGTGGTGATGAGCATTGCACAAAACGGTGGCATACCCTTCTTCACGAGCGTAATGGAATAGAACGTATACGCGAGGTATCGCACAGGCAACAATCGTCACGGCAAGCATCGAATCACGTAGCACAGCAGCAGCAACAAGCCGTGCAGCTACAACCCGTTTCACCGGAGGGAATACATCAAGTTTTTACGAACACTATCCCGTCTAACAAAGCATCGAAATTGTTGTTTAAAATTGTACCAGTTATATTGTATGCCAATTCGAGGGAAATCAAAACTTATGCGTTTTTCGACGAAGGGTCTGCTATATCACTAATCAACCGTGCCTTAGCAACTCGCCTTGGGCTTAAGGGGTACAGCGATAGTCTAACGTTGCAATGGTTTGGCAGCACAACTGTCACTGAACCTTCTTGTAGGGTAGATGTAGAGATTTCCGGTATTGAGCGAGGTAGCAAGAAGTTTAGTATGCGAAACGTGTGTACGGTTTCAAATCTCCAATTGCCAATGCAGTCGATAAGTCTGTCGGACCTTCATTATAAGGATCAACATCTGCCACTACGCGAGTACTCTGGCGCTGTGCCCGAACTTCTAATAGGATTGGACAATGCGTATCTTGGAGTACCACGACGAACGGCTCACGACGGTAGCAGAGGTTATGCGGTGGTGCTGACAAAACTCGGATGGGTAATCTACGGAGCAGGGCGACGTCCATTGAACCAGGCGCGTTATCATACAATGTTTGCGCGAGTGAGTGAAGCGGGCGAAACTTCTCAGCTGGAGGACCTCATCCATGATTACATAATCAACGAAAGCATGGGCGTAGGTGTTGTGAAACAGGTGATTGAAGCCGAAGATATTGTGAGGGCAAAGAAACTGTTGCAGGAGAATACAAAGCGCAACGGAAACCAATTTGAAACGTGTTTATTGTGGAAGGATGATAACATAGAGTTGCCGGCAAGTAGGGAGATGGCAGAAAAGAGATTTTACGCACTAGAGAGAAAATTTAAACGCGACGACGATTTGAAAAAAGCATATGCGACGATTATAGCAGGGTATGTGGCGAAAGGGTACGCCAGTAAACTAAGTGAAGAGGAGGCTGCCAAAGCTCCTGTGGTGCTTTATTTCACTTTTGTGTGCTTCTTTCACTTCAACGCCAGATCACGAATGAGCTTTTTATATTTCACTAGTGATGTGGTCGTTTTACAAATTTATAAAACTCGATAACAATTATTACGTTACGACATTAAGGTACAAATAGAGCATCAATACGTTTAACAAGCAAGTAACTGCGCTAACAGCCCCTCCCCCGTAAATCTAACCAGATTTACCCAACTCCAGCTTAGCTAAGATGCAGGCCGGCCGCTTAAATGTGCCCGTCTTCGTCTGGACTTCTGCAGATCTCACTTGACCATCTTTTCCCGGGAATACCTTCACCAGGCGTCCCATGAGCCATCTGGATCGATGCTGGCTACTGTCGCATACGAGTACGAGGTCTCCTACTGCTAGGGGCTCTACCGGTTGGTACCATTTGGTTCTTCGGACGAGGTCAGGCAGGTATTCGTTAACCCACTTCTTCCAAAATCGATACTGCGTTTGTTGAACTTTTCGCCATTGCTTACGTGTGGCCTGGAACTTCTCTTCCTGCGGGTGCGGTGTTTGCTCGGAGTTTGGTGTACCTATAAGAAAATGGTTTGGGGTTAGAGGTTCGTCAGTGGCGGTGTCCAACGGGATGTGAGTCAGAGGCCTCGAATTTACAATGTTTTCCGCCTCGCACATGAGATGGTAAAGGCTGTGCTCATGTAGGTTTTCATTATATAATGCGTGCCCANAACGGGATGTGAGTCAGAGGCCTCGAATTTACGATGTTTTCCGCCTCGCACATGAGATGGTAAAGGCTGTGCTCATGTAGGTTTTCATTATATAGTGCGTGCCCCATAGCTCGCTTAACGCTCCGCACTAGACGCTCCCAGCAGCCACCAGCGTGGGGATTTGAGGGACAGTTGAATACCCACTCTACATTCTTGTTTACAAGTGCATCGGCTATCTTACCGTCATTAAACTCCTTCAATTGCCGCTTCAATTCTCTGTCAGCGCCGACAAAGTTCGTACCATTATCCGACCGAATACGCACAGGAATACCACGTCGGCACATAAAATTTCTCAAACACATCAGGCAAGTATCAGTAGTCAAGTCCTTCGCCAATTCCAAGTGTATCGCCCGTGTAGTAAGGGAAGTGAATAAAGAGAANACACATCAGGCAAGTATCAGTAGTCAAGTCCTTCGCCAATTCCAAGTGTATCGCCCGTGTAGTAAGGCAAGTGAATAAAGCGATCCAGCGCTTTTCGCTACGCCGACCGATGGTTATCGTAAACGGGCCCATGTAATCTAATCCTGTGTAGGTAAAAGGCCTAACAAATGGTGTAAGCCGGTCTGCTGGTAGTTGTCCCATCTGTGGCGGTCGAGGAACGGCTTTCTCCTTGAGGCATACTTGACATCTCGCAGCGGCGCGACGTACTTCCGTTCTTATGCGCGGCATCCAATACTTATGACGAATTTCGGCGATTATCGTCGACTCGNTCGTAAACGGGCCCATGTAATCTAATCCTGTGTAGGTAAAAGGCCTAACAAATGGTGTAAGCCGGTCTGCTGGTAGTTGTCCCATCTGTGGCGGTCGAGGAACGGCTTTCTCCTTGAGGCATACTTGACATCTCGCAGCGGCGCGACGTACTTCCGTTCTTATGCGCGGCATCCAATACTTACGACGAATTTCGGCGATTATCGTCGACTCATTCTGATGTCTCCAAATTCGATGAAAATAGTCAACTATAATTTCTGTTACATGACATTTGTTAGGTAAGATCGCGGGGCGTCTCGTCCAGGTCGGAACCGTGGTTGCTGCGTCTATTCGACCGCCAATTCTCATTACGCCGTCATCGTCCATGATGGGACTCAGGTTCCAAAGCGCGCTGCCCTTCTCTATCTTATCGCCTGCCTGCAGGGAATGATATTCATCCGGGAAGGCTTCCATTTGCACCGCTCGGACGATAAACATTTCAGCTCGTTCAAGCTCGTTTACCTTTAAGTTCCCATAAGCTCGCATTCCTTCCGTGGTACGGCAGTTTTTCACAAAACTCAGTGTCCAGCTGACTACTCTCTTAAGTTTCAAAAAACATGAAGATTTCTTTAAAAAATTGGTATCAATTTGTATTAAAAGAAACGTAAATTTATTTCGAAGTTCCACATTGGTACCGTCGCATATTACGTTCGGTGGCCAGTTTTTTATCTTCTTCTTTGAGGAATTTCGGTCCGGTTAACCAAAAAGATTCGCGCTTACGATCTCTAGGGCGTGTCCCAAAGTCCGCAGGATTGAGGGCACTCGGCAGCCCTCTTGGGCGCCCTTCTGTTCTTGGTTGGCGCGGTTCCAAGCTCGAGTACACACAGGCTGAATTCACAATTTTGGATAATTCTTGTAGCCAGTCGCTAAAGTGGCATATCGTTGGTCGCGGTACAATCGTAGAGGCATGTCGTGCCCACTCAATACGCCTTTGCATAGGCAGTTTAATCAGCAACTCTTCCATCAACGTAGGGTTTGACAAATGATACTCACAATCAGCAGCCTGAAGAAAGGAGGATAAATTTTGAACCTTCGTCGCGAACATCACTGACTGGTCGATATGATTTTCGGAGATTGGTGCCACACTTCGTATCTTCTTTAATTGACTCTTCACCAGCAGCTCCGGCTTCCCATAGCGTTCTTCTAAAGTTTTGATGATTTGCTTCACGTTTCTGCTGTGTATTAGTAAACACTCGATCGTCTCCCTTGCTTTGCCTTTGATTGCTTTCTGTAAGCGCATCATGTTCTGCGTGTCACTGTACTGGTACTCCGTTGTAGTCATTATGAATGTTTCCTTAAACATTGGCCAGTCCTCTGGACGGCCGTCGAATTCCGGCAAATCGTAGTTTCCGTATTGCACCCACTTGCGATATGGTTTGAGAGCGGCCCGTTTCACTGGAGGCAGCTGTAATAATTCCATAGCTATCCCCTGCGCCGACCGTGTTTGCTTGCACCTGCCTAGTCTGTCTCAGTTCCTCCTGTAGGTTTTGAACCTGCTGCAAAATTTCCGCTAGTCTTGTTTCTACCGACGGCTGCACGGTTTGATTCGTTGGAATCTGCTCGACTACGGTTGCTTCAAGTTCGTCGTAGTTATCGCCGTCTCCTTCTCTCGCACTATTATCCGTACTTGTGCCCGAACGTGTTACTGGCATATTTAAAAATGGTTGCTCGGCGCGTGTTTCAATAAAGAAAAAATGGCTACGCGGTGCTTTTCCCGCCTTTTTAATTTTTTGGAGGTTACGTGGTTTTGCCTACTTATGGACCTACTAACCGACTAACGAGCCCCATACCCAAATCAATCTCTCATAAGCACTTACCAAATCTCCTCTCGCTTGTTTGCTTGATACTCCGTACGCCTTCTTGGTCTACGCGCCACTCCACAGGATCTTGCTGATGGCCCCAGTGTGCCCTTCGCTTGATGCGCTCCGACCGTGTACCGCTTTAATACTCCTGGTGCGCGTTTTAATACTCCGAATGCGAATTAAGTCGGCTGGTACACCCTTATACTACCGCGGACCGCAATCCAACGCTCGTGCACAATTTAGTTTCGTTTTTACAATCTTAAAAATGCTGATGCAGGACCCAATGTAGCCGATGCACACTTAATACTTCCGGTGCACACTTTTTACTTAGTCGGCTGCGCAATTCTACTCCACGTGTGTACTCCTATTCACGCACGTCACTTGCTATTTTTCTTTGGCAAAAAGTGAAATAAAGGATGTTGTTGAGACGCGATCCGGCAAGGAACGAAATAAAAGCAAGCCTTTGCTGTAAACGCTTTCCAAGGCGTGGTGCTTTATTTCACTTTTGTGTGCTTCTTTCACTTCAACGCCAGATCACGAATGAGCTTTTTATATTTCACTAGTGATGTGGTCGTTTTACAAATTTATAAAACTCGATAACAATTATTACGTTACGACATTAAGGTACAAATAGAGCATCAATACGTTTAACAAGCAAGTAACTGCGCTAACACCCTTATTTTTGCATCATATTGTTTCGCGTACACGGGATTACTATTCTTCTTCCTCACCTTTTAGCTTGATTGTATCGTTTAATATTTTCAGTGCTCTGTCATCTGCTTTTGACTTCAATGGCCTCGCCTTAGCTTTGACACCGCATGTCTCTATTTCAAAATATTGGCGCATAATCTCGTTCATTTCACTATCGTCGTTGTGTTCAATACGATGAGCGTGTAGTACACTTCTCTTCGCCGTGGAGCATTCTCCAGTAGGGCCAAAAATTACCCAGCCCAAACGCGTTTTAACAATTGCGGGCCCGTTTATGGCCGACATTCGAGGAACTTCAATTGGCATTGGCAAAAATGCATGCGTAAGGCATTAGCCTTATGATAATTATCATTTTGAGCTGGACGTCAGAATAACTATCCAAAAGTACGTCATCAAAACTTGGATTGACTCCCAGAACTTCGTTCTTATTAAATGACTGCTTTGGCAGAATCAAATTTTTGTTCAAATATACTTTCGATATCTTTAATTGTTTTGCATGTGACGCGGTGTCGCTAATACCTAGCTCAACCACTTCGGTAGGTTCTTTTACGGAATGACCATTAAGCCAAGATAGATCCAGGTGCTCTTTCGTTCCACTTAGGCCAAGGTCTTTTGCAATACTCCAATCCAGCATGGTGACATCGAACACAACAACCTCTTTCTCGCGATTCATTAACTTAACGGGCATGATTTGAAATAAAACCTCATTTGCATTTCTACGAACGTGGCAACTAACCTTTTCATGGGGCACCTCCCCTCTTACTCGATCACTGGTCGATGACTCACGGGAATCAGTATGAATCGAGTGTAATAAACGATTGTGGTATTTTTTACAATTATTGATTCCACAGCATTTCTTTGAAAAACATTTATTTACGGTATGATTGGATTTAAGGCAGGCAAAACACAGGCTGACTTCTAAAACGTCAATTGCTTTGCATACGTACAAAGTATAACGTTCAATAACGTCGAACTACAAAATGTTGACGATGTATACTTTTCCAAAACGCATCCGAAAATAATTCGAAACGCATCGCTAGCGCAATCAGCGCATCAGAAACAAAGTTGATGCTTCGTTTGTTATTGGTTACCATTGGTGTTTTAAAAATGGAAAATTCATAAAAATTGTTCATTATTATATTGAGTATTTAAAATATGCAATGTATATGGTTGCAATGTGTCGCAACTCTGCATATACAAACAGTTTGAATACCGCAGTATAACAGTTTCCAAACATTGTATTGATACGTTTTGGAAGCCAGCCTCACTTTCGTTTCCCACGATTGAGAGAAATAGAGATTGCGCCAATCGCGGTACCGCTAATCCGCTCTTTGTGATTCTGACAGAATCAGCTGTGTGCGTGACGTCATCTTGGTGCAATTGTTGATTGTGAGCATTTGAAAAAACCAAATAACAATTTTAATATATGTGCGTTAATATTTTTGCGTGGTTTTAATCAATTATTGAGACATTACAAAGGAAAATGAAGTGTTCCGTGGCAAAGTGTAATAGTAAAAACTAAAGGAAAGCGTGCGATATAAGATTTTTTTTCCGTTTCCTACGGACGCAAATCTGGCGAAAAAGTGAAAGCAGTTCTGCCGGCGAGGAGATGCATTAAACACCAAATCGAGCTATGTGTGCATGAAGCACTTTACTAGTGAAGATATTGAATAATATTTTTAGTGCTGGTATGAGGTAATGCACCAGTGGATAAGGTCGCCAGGTGCTAATTCAAGCGGCATCTTACCGCGCTGTTACGTACCTAATACAAAACAGTGGCCAAATTATTTTACATTTAAAGGTTCAGCTTAAATTATCCTTTACTTACATAGAATATTTGTTTCCAAAGAAGCCACACTCATGCATTCTCTCGGAAATGGTACAAAAGTCATCAAATAAACGCTGTGGAGTCAACAGCTGTGGAGTTTATGGTGGTTGGCTACCGTCCACAAATGTAAATATGCTGCACACCTTCCTTTTGGTCTACATGAAATTGCAAACACTGTTAATACATCCATTCTTTCATGTGCTAAAATTCGTACTTACCTAAAGGGCTACATGTCCAAAGTTATTGCTACGTGTTTCTAATTAATGAATCTTTGTATATTTATTGATTCCTGCAAAATCGGGCCATGCAATATTAAAATTAACACATTTTTCTGCATTGTTTACATATTTTTATATGCGTTTTGGCATTTCTGTCTCGCAATTGCACCAAGATGCCGTCACGCAAAAATTACGCTCAAAAATCCTCTCTCATTGGCGCAATCTTGTATTCTATCATTCTTGTTCGTTTCCTTTACATGCTCCCATCTGCGCTCAACTGGTAGCTTAGTGAACTTTTCACACGAAGCAAGCGATTGACAATCGCCTTCGCAAATAATACATTTACGGCGCGCAAGACTAAACTCGAGTATTTGCCCTTGTTCACTCCAGGCACGTTACCATGCGCACGGGAATTTATAGAAACTTTTGGGGGCGGTAGGCTATCCATCACCATATTTGCAAGTCTATGCAAGCATGTCAACCACTGCCCAAAATCCACTATGTCACGACCCAATTCCATACATTTTTCAGCCCACGGCATACGACGTGTCATCGGCAACTTCGATACAAGCTCACTAACCACAATCGGGTTTACCAGATGCTGTTGTGCGCCCACTTATTGCAAGATTAATGCCATATTATTCACATTATTAGCAAACGCGATTAACCTATCTAATTTTCCTTCGGGAACAGGCTGCAACCTGTACCTTTTCGAGCTGGCTCTTTATTACCTGTTCTGGACGACCATATGTTTCCGCTGACGTTGTTAATATAGCATTGACATTTTTCGCTTGCTATTCTTCAGGCTGTCCACCAAACTTTGGCAATGGGTAGATTTTATGAGCTCTGGCAGGTGCGTAACCTAAAGAATTTAAATTAGCAAAATACTCCTGAAGAAATACCCGCTTGTGAGTGCGACCCAGAAGCATTTGTTATTTGAGCTACAGCAGCCGGAAACGATCGAAAGGCGTTGACGTTTGTCGATCTAGCGGTGGACATACCATTTTTAGGTGCCCCAGCTGCTGGAGTAGTTCGTGCAATTGTAGCCGGACGAAAACGCGTAGTGTTGGTCGTTGTTGTCATTTTTGCTGCGCAAGATGTTGATGAAAACACGTCGCCTAGACATGGGTCGGCGGCTTCACGTTGACTTGGAACACCTATCCCACCAGTACAGTTATTTACCCCAGTAGCGGACGCAATAGAGGCTTATGCGTTTGAAACGGCAGCGCTGTTAGGTGTCGTAACGGCAACTCTCAAATTCGTGGCGTAGTCTGAGGTAACGGTACCATCCAATCAAAAAATGGACTAGGGAAAAGAGAGGGCACGCCCCTGTTGCGAACTTTCGCTACAATTATAACGAGTTGTCCCTTCTTGTTATCTACATTCTTTGCTAAAACTGAATAGACTATTAAACTGCATACCTGTTTCTTTTTTAGAAATTCTTTTTAAAAGTTTGCTTTGCAGATTTTTCATGATTTTAATAGACAGATTCATATTAGGATTTAATTGGGGTTTTCTAAAATATAAGCCATATTTCAATACAAAATAAAATAAAAAAAAATTGAGCATGTAAAACATTGCGAATATTAACAAAAAACAAAATCATGTACTAAATTTTGTGAATAACAGTATATATAGTACATACCGACGCTTCCAAACCATAATATGCTAAATCAACTTAGACTTAGTCAGACTTAGCATAGTATGGTTTGGGGCGTCGATATGTACGTCTGCTTGTACGAAGAAATGACTTCAACAAACGTTAATAAAGACTTTCATATAGACGTATATTTATGTAGGATTTCCTTTCTTAATCAAATTAAAATCCCATTTCAGTTTACGCAGGTTTGCTTATTTATTTTATTAAATTAAAATGTACACTTAACACGGAATACATACAATGTAGGTTGAAGCCTGAGGTCCGTCCGGTGCTCGCGGTCGCGTAAATTCGAATGTCGTTCTTGTCCGTTTTTCTAGTTGTCGTTCCTCTCGTCAAGTTGTTCGCTTGTTTCTTTCACTGTCCTTCTTATACAGCGTTGCATCTGGAAGTCAGTGTTACCTGATTGTACGATATTGTGTCATTTCGTAAGTGGTAAGTAAGTGTTGTGATCTCGTAAGTATTGTCCGGCAGTCAAATCCTACAATCTGCTGTCGTTTTGTGCTTATACAGCGCAGTCGCTGTTTACTGCACGTCGTTGCTTGCTTGCGCGTCGCTTGTACTTCGCCGCCTGTTTGCTCCCTCGCCGCCGTCCACTTGGCTATTTGCTCTTCGTTTTAAGTTGAAAAATTTTATTCTGCTGTCGTTTTGTGCTTATACAGCGCAGTCGCTGTTTACTGGACGTCGTTGCTTGCTTGCGCGTCGCTTGTACTTCGCCGCCTGTTTGCCTCCCTCTGCTTTATTGCGCGCCGCTGCTTAGTTACGCGCCGCTACTTAACTGTGCGTCGCTGGTCCCTTGTATTACAGTCCCGCAAGTGCGCGTATTCTTCCTCGCGCATATATTGACGAGTTGTTGCGGTACCCGACCAAAAACAAAGTATTATGCGCACGCCACACG